GATCGTGAGAAATATTTTAAATACGATAAGGGTGCACATGTCAACCCGATCGTACATATCTTAAACAAACCCAGACCGCTCACAGGAGGTCATATTTACTTGTTACTTGTTACATAGGCTCAAGTGGCGGTTGTATTAATAGATAGATATGCACATACAAGTGCTGCGGCAGGGCTCTGCTGCTGGGACTTAATCGCTAACAGATGCTTCTTATCTATAACCGTGTTCATGTTTGAACATTCTGCCAAGGGCCAGCAAAGGTGTAGGTGTAGTTGTAGATGATAGTTGCAGTCAAACATAAGTGGACTGTATTTATTTATTCGATATTATTAATTTCGCAACTAATATTTTACAACGCCTCTGTATCATGGCTTAATAAACAATTACAATTTAATTTTAATTTTTAATTCATGTTCCTGTGTGAACATTCTGCTAAGGGCCAGCAAGCTGTTGAATTTTAGGTCATAAACTTCTCAAAAAATACAATACAATTCAAAATGATTTTTTTACGAATTACAAATTTTAAGATATTGTGTACGGACATCGAAAGCATCAGCTTGTAATTGCCTGCTTACGGAATTATAATTATTTTTTATTTTTTATTAGCAGAGTGCCTTTAGTACTCCTAGATACCTCCAAAGTGAGGTCCTGCCGGCGGAATAGGTGGAATAAAATGCCACTCAATTCCTTCTTTTAATGGCCTTTGCCAAGTTTCTAGCTGCGCCTACAAAATTTGTTCCGTTTATCGGAATAAATAGTAGCGCATTTTCCTGTTCTTGCGACAAACCTTCTGAGTGCTGCTGCAGTCAGTGTGGGATGCGTTGAGGTGCCGCCTGAATCGTCGCTGCTGCTGTCGTCGCTGCTGCTGTCGTCGCTGCTGCTGTCGTCGCTGCCGCCTGTGTCGTCGCTGCGACTGTAGTGGTTGTTGCAGACTTATTTGTAGTTGCTGACGTGCGTTCGTCCCTCCTTCTCCTTATTCTCCGTCAAGGGCTGGGTAACTTCCACACAAAATTTGTTTATATTTTGTCGATTACTCGACAATACAAAATTTTTCATTTTTATTCTCTTAAAAAACCAACCAATGGAGGTGGAACAATTTTTTGTTTTTTTTTTTTTTAACAAAAAGGACTCTTTTTTATCCTTTTGCTTTTGGCAATTTCAAATGCCACAAAATAATTTTATTTATTATTTTCCAATTTAATGCACTTTTTTTTTTCTCAGTACGCCTCCAAACCATATATTTCAATGGTATTACAGCAACCTTTAGCTATGTCAAGCCTAAATGGTGCTTCAATTTAAACATAAAAAACTCTTTTGTGTCTTTTTATACCCTTGCAGGGTATTATAATTTCAGTCAGAAGTTTGCAACGCAGTGAAGGAGACGTTTCCGACCCTATAAAGTATATATATTCTTGATCAGCATCAACAGCCGAGTCGATATAGCCATGTCCGTCTGTCCGTCTGTCCGTCTGTCCACCTGTCTGTTTCTACGCAAACTAGTCCCTCAGTTTTAAAGCTATCTGAATGAAACTTTGCATATAGTCTTCTATATACTCTCACTGCTATATATGTCGGAACGGGCCGGATCGGACGACTATATCATATAGCTGCCATACAAATGTTCGATCGATTTTTAGAAAAAAAATTATAACTTTGCTGTTTTTTAATATTTTTGCACCATATTTTAGATATGGCTATTTTATATTATTTCTAAATTTTGGTAAAAATTTTATGAAAATCGGACGACTATATCTTATAGCTGCCATAGAAACGATCGGGAAATTAATAGGAAACAATATATAACTTCGTTGTTTTTCAAAGTATTTTCATCTACTGAGGTATAAGCTTATTTTATTATTTTAGAATTTTGATATAAATTTCATGAAAATCGGACAACTATATCATATAGCTGCCATAGGAGCGATCGGTAGATGTAGAGAAAATGTAAAGGTGTGAATGTAAAACTGTAACTGTCAAACTGTAAACATAATAAGTATAGGTAAAATGTAATGAAATAATATCTGCAAGGGTATACAAACTTCGGCGTGCCGAAGTTAGCTTCCTTTCTTGTTGTTTTATAATATTATTCTCTGTTCCTTACCACGGGTGGGGGGAAACAAGAGATCTTTATTTTTGCAGCCTTAATCTTTTAAGGTGCTGGTTTAAAACTCTGAACCTCTTACCACAGGGGGGAAAGTTGCAGTGCGGTCGAAGGACCAAAATGAAAACCCCAAATAAATAAGAACTCTCCATCCGGCTCGAAGGACCAAAATGAAAGAGCTCCAAAATAAATGAGAAGTCTTCATCTGCTGAGTTTTTGTAAGAAACTGATTTTATTTCATTCAAACCCTAGCTTATATAGCTAACATGAGAATGTACATTGTAGATCTTAGTTCTAGACCCACGCATCGGTCAGTTCCCGATCGTGAGAAATATTTTAAATACGATAAGGGTGCACATGTCAACCCGATCGTACATATCTTAAAGAAACCCAGACCGCTCACAGAAGGTCATATTTACTTGTTACTTGTTACATAGGCTCAAGTGGCGGTTGTATTAATAGATAGATATGCACATACAAGTGCTGCGGCAGGGCTCTGCTGCTGGGACTTAATCGCTAACAGATGCTTCTTATCTATAACCGTGTTCATGTTTGAACATTCTGCCAAGGGCCAGCAAAGGTGTGTAGCAAGCAGCCACACTAACCGATGTAATAAGCAGCCACACTAACCGATTGTAGAAGACAGTCACACTACCCTATACATTGACACATTGATTGTACACATACACACTTAGTCATAAGAATACACCAATACACTTAAGAAATAGGCTAAGGAGAGAATGGAAGAATGAATAAAGAACACTTCGTTTGTGACCACTGTAAGGAAGTTCGACGGCTGGGGTAGGTCTCAGTCACGTCCAAGGTCCTCTTTAACAGAAAAATTTATAAAGATGTGGGACAAAGTGTTTTGACGCGCGGTAAACTGACGTGAGATGGTAGCTGTCAGTTACCGGGATACGAAGCCAGAGAAATGACTTGTCCGGCCTTTGCAATAAAGCGAAATAATCGGCGGAGCGCGTTTTGGGTCGGGCCCATAGCAATCGCTAGAAGGAGACCGAGAGAGGGGTCGATTTTGGGGACCACCGCTTCCTAGGGCAGAGCTTATGGCCTAAGATCTAGGCATTTTGAGCAAATATTCTACGTAATTCATGGCCAGCGTGATTGTGGGTCGTTCCCTCGCGAGCTGGACTCGATTTGAGTCGAAAATTTAACTTGAGAGAGGTTTTCTTGAATTTATTTACTTTTCTCATTTTTAAATTTCTCTGCATTTTATTTTTCCCACTGTGGGCAGCATACGGCCTCTCGGAAGTGGCGGTCAGTGATTAACTTCTCCGCGAGAGCAAAAATATATTTAAATAAGATTTTACTTAAATCTCATTATTAAATTTCGGAGTAAAATTTCTCCCAGTGTAGGCGAAACTCAGCCAACCCCCCCCGCAAGAAACGAAATGTACAACCGTACGAGTTTATTATACCCTTGCAGGGTATTATAATTTCAGTCAGAAGTTTGCAACGCAGTGAAGGAGACGTTTCCGACCCTATAAAGTATATATATTCTTGATCAGCATCAACAGCCGAGTCGATCTAGCCATGTCCGTCTGTCCGTCCGTCTGTCCGTCCGTCTGTCCGTTTCTACGCAAACTAGTCTCTCAATTTTAAAGCTATCTGAATGAAACTTTGCATGTAGTCTTCTATATACTCTCACTGCTATATATGTCGGAACGGGCCGGATCGGACGACTATATCATATAGCTCCCATACAAATGATCGATAAATTTTTAGAAAAAAAATTATAACTTGGCTGTTTATCAACATTTTTGCACCATTTTTTAGATATGGCCATTTTATATTATTTCAGAATTTCGGTAAAAAATTCATGAAAATCGGACGACTATATCTTATAGCTGCCATAGGAACGATCGGGAAATTAATAGAAAAAACATTATAACTTCGTTGTTTTTCAACCTATTTTTATCTACTCTGAGATATAAGCTTATTTTATTAGTTCAGAATTTTGGTATAAATTTTATAAAAATCGGACAACTATATCATATAGCTGCCATACAAACCGATCGGTAGATGTAGAGAAAATGTAAAACTGGGAATGTAAAACTGTAACTGTCAAACTCTAAACAATAAGTATAGGTAAAATTTAATGAAATAATATCTGCAAGGGTATACAAACTTCGGCGTGCCGAAGTTAGCTTCCTTTCTTGTTTTTAATTAGTTTCAGTTTTCATTGTTTTATTTAATAACGTTGCATTTTTTTCCCAGACTTTTCCCTTTTTAGCTTTCGTTGGTTTTATTTAATAAAGTTTGCAGGGATTTTAACAAAAAAAACAAGGTTAGGTTTCGGGGCATTATTTCTAGCCTACTCTAGCGAAAACCGCATCTTGGCCGTCGAGAAATTTCTATTTACACATGTACCCGCTGGCCAAAATGCGATCCTCCCTATACACTCACCCGTCTCCGTTTTTCTCCGCACACACACACGTCTGCCGGTGGCTGCTGCTTCCCAGCAGACAAAAACTCCGTAAAAAATATTAAAAACTGAAGTTTTGCGGACCGCAGGCGGACAAAACGTCCGATTTTAGGCTCAAGATCGGTAGCAAAGTAAATTACATGTCCTGGGGTTTGTGGCACCAAAACCTCTCATTTTCGGAGCACGAACTAATAGCGTTTGCGGACGCTGTGGCGAGACCGGAAACGGTACCGATAGCAACCCCTTTACGATACCCGAAAGAGTTCCGTTAGTGGACCTGTGGCGATACCGGAAAAAGTACCGTTTGGGGACCTTTTGACGATGCGTTTCAGATACATTTTTAATATCTATTTCCAACTCAATTTTTTTAGAATTTCGGGTTTTTTTAATGTAAATAAAACATACATTTATTTATGTTTATCATTGTTTATTATTTATCATTATTTAACTTAAAAAATAAACATTTTACTTAAGATTTGTTCATTTCCTTAAAACTAATAATACTAATACTAACCGTCCTGTGCATTCTGCTTTTGTGTCTGCTTGCATCCTCCAACGCAAATTTGTTTATAAAAGCGGCTGTAAAAATATAAATTATTATAAGTATATACGTATTAAAAAATATACGAAAAATATACATACCTTTGACGGATGACGTAATAAGCATCTCTCGAATGGACATTTTGAACTCTGTCCCAAACCAGGACCATTGGCGCGCCACTTCGTCGGAAATTAAGTCTCGCCAGCATAAATAAATAAAAATCTAGTCAATATTAGTTCATTAGTATGAGATTGTACATATTAATCAATTTAAATTTAACACTTACCGTTGAAAACACGTGCGTCTTGTAAAAAACTGTACACTCACGTCCGCACAACTCGCCGGTCAAAAGGAAAAGAGTCGCGACGGTATACATTCCTCAAACCAAAAGAGTTGAAAGATGATGCAATAATATTTGCCTCCCGCTCATTTGCAGCGAAATAACAAAAAAACAGGCAAGCGACAAAAGATGGAAGGAGAAGAACCGTTCATCGAGTTCTAGAAATTTCGTTGACGACAAGATTTTTAACGCGTGCAGTGCGTTTTAGTGTCCGTTAGCGGGACATTTGCGGCATTTGCACGGGTCCCAGTGTTAGCCCGTTTCAGTATCTGTTTTCGGACCAGGTTTCGACAATTAGGCAAACCTATTGCGGTAAGTCCGCTTTTTGGCCGCCCACTGTACGGTTTAGTGTCCGTTAGCAATACGTTTTTGGTACATTCACGGGAAACGCCACAGTTTTGCTTTTCGTCCGTTTGCGCGTCCGTTTTTGAGCATTCCCCGAACCTAATGCGGAAACTCCGATTCTTTGTTCACATTTAATATTTTTAGCGGACATTTCTCGGATCCATCCGCACTGAGACCGCTCTTTGCCTGCTGGGTTCCGCCACGTCCTCGCCGTCCGCTTCCAAAAGAATTTGCCTCCTTGGCCGTCGAGAAAACTTCTCCGCACTCCACTGGCTGCCTCACGATCACTGGGCACTTCGAGTACCACCTTCCTGGTTGGTCTCGGGTATAAATTGTCACTGTCTGTCGAGAGAGGCTGTAAATAAAACGAGCGTCTGACGTTGTTGAGTTGATATTTCAAACTAAATTTATTTCTTAAAATCCTAGCTTAGGTAGCTAACATGAGAATGGAAATTACTTATTTCTAGACCCACGGATCGGTATATCTCCGACCGCGGGAAACCTTCTATGGTCTTTATCTTTAACATATGGTGACCACTCGCAGGAGGTCATATAACCCACCAAGCGTTCTAGGTACCTAGCTGAGATAGGTATGCACATTTGCTAGAGTGCCGGACATCTGCATCCCAGACGCAACAATTTGGTGTTGTTTTATTGCTTAAACATAGACAGGCTCTTATCTTTCTGATATTCATATTTGTGTGTTCTTTCTGAACATTCTGCCAAAGGCCGGCAAAACTGACATAAGATTTACATAATTTATTGCTTATGTATAATTGCTTCAACGATTTAGTGGACTGTAATTATTTATTTCATTTCATTTTTCAACTTAAATCTTGCTCTTCTTGTTTATTTATATTTCCTTTTCAACATTAGATTTTCTTATGTCTTAAATTACCATTCGTTTTATTTTGTGTTTCTTAATAATAAAAATAATCGTGTTCTTATGAACATTCTGCCAAAGGCCCGGCAAGCTTGACATTTAGTGAACAATATATTTTATTTTTGATATTTGTGCAAACAACGATTTAAGTGGACTGTAAATTTGTATAATTTTTTAACATATATATTTTTACTTAATTATTTGATATTAATTTCCTTGCAACGGGCCGGCAAATGTTATGGCTTCTAATCTTTGCCTAATTAAACATTTTTTCACAAAATATATTATCAAAACTGCTATAACTATCAATGAAAATATAAAACCAGCGTGTCTGGAAATTTGATGGATATGCAATTGTGGATGGTATTATTTTTCTTAATTTTTGAACAATTATTTTTAAATTAAGCAATCGGTATTGAAACTATTCGTTTTATCTAAAGCTATCATGATTTTAACTCCAGCTTTCTAAATACCTCCGAAGTGAGGTCCTGCCGGGGGAATATTACGTTACCTAACTCCTGATCTAACTTGCGTTTTTATGATATTTTATACTCTTTTTTTTTTTTCTTTACAAAAACAAAAAATAATTATATTTCTAATAAAAAAGAATTTTTAATAAAGTTGATTAAGCTGCTGCTTCTTCCGCTTCTGCCGCGCCGCCGTCGTCTTTAATGTTGATGTTGTTGTTTCTGCTGCTGCTGTCGTCGCTGCCGCCGTTGTTGGCTGTAGGACGATTTTCTGATGCCGCCTGTATCGTCGCTGCGGCTGTAGTTGTTTTTGCAGACTTCTTTGCTGCCGTGCGGTCTTCCCTCCTTCTGTACCCGTCTTGAGTTGGATACTTAAAAAACCAACCAATGGAGGTGGAACAATTTTTTGTTTTTTTTTTTTTTTTTTTTGTATTATTTTTTAATTTAATGCACTTTTTATATCTTTTTTTTTTTTTTCTTTTAAACACATTCACTACTGATATTCATGGCTTCAGCACGCCTTACCATTTCTTCCATGGTATTTCAGCAACCTAAATGGTGCTAGTATTTTAAAACATAAAAGACTCTTTTGTGTCTTTTTGTTCATATATTTATTCTCTGTTCCTTACCACGGGTGGGGGGACACAAGAGATTTTTATTTTTAGCAACCTTAATACTTTTAAGGTGCTGGTTTATAACTCTGAACCTCTTACCACAGGGGGGAAAGTTGCAGAGCGGCCGAAGGACAAAAATGTCGAGAGAGGCTGTACATGAAACAAGCGTCTGACGTCTTTGATCGAGCGGCCAAAGTACCACAAAATGTCAGAGAGGCTGTAAAAAAGAGAGACACGCGTCTGACGTGGTTGAGATGATAAAACAAACTCTAAGGACCAAAACGAGACTCTGAACCTCTTACCACAGGGGGAAGGTTGCAGAGCGCTCGAAGGACCAAAATGTCGAGAGAGGCTGTACATGAAACGAGCGTCTGACATTGGTGAGCTGTTCTTTCAAACTAAATTTATTTCTTAAAATCCTAGCTTAGGTAGCTAACATGAGAATGGAAATTACTTATTTCTAGACCCACGGATCGGTATATCTCCGACCGCGGGAAACCTTCTATGGTCTTTATCTTTAACATATGGTGACCACTCGCAGGAGGTCATATAACCCACCAAGCGTTCTAGGTACCTAGCTGAGATAGGTATGCACATTTGCTAGAGTGCCGGACATCTGCATCCCAGACGCAACAATTTGGTGTTGTTTTATTGCTTAAACATAGACAGGCTCTTATCTTTCTGATATTCATATTTGTGTGTTCTTTCTGAACACTGTCAATATCTGGGTTTACACTCGTAGATCGCAGAAAAACTCCGTCGCGTGAAACACTCCCGTTTTGGCTTCGTTGAAAAAAAACTACGTCGACCGCTCGCACGTCTATCCGTTTTCGTCGCCTCCGCAAAAGTAAATCCAGCCACGCGGCTTTGCCAAATTTTCGGCCGCGCTGGTAATTTTCCATTGCTCTTGCATTTCGGTGCATCAGCTTCCCTCTCGCTCTCTCCCGTTGGCGCGTGCCAATTTTCGGGGGTTGCTTTGCGCTCGATCGTATGCTCGCTCTCCGTTGCTCTCATACGGCGCTAACTCCGTGGCCACTTGTTCGTGGTGAATAACTCTCTCTGCTCTCCGAGTGTAGGTGTTTTTTTTTTTTTTATTTAAAGATATAAGTATCATACATAAGTAGTAGAGTAAGAAAGAGAAATGTCCGCTCCCGCGGGACTGCCGCAAAGCTATACTTCGCGGGGCGGCAGGCGGTCAGGTGCCGCTCATCGTTCGCCGTCCATGCGTCGGATCTTCTCCCGGCGCCTCTGCTCTCTCAATACGGTTGCTGCCATGTTCGTAACCGCCTCCCAATTGGACGGCGTCTCCAGCATACACCCGATTATGTTTTCCGGTGTAAGACGACAGCTCGTTGCTGCTTCCAGGGCAGCTCTATCCGCGCTGAATAGTGAGCATGAGAAGAATGCATGCTCTGCGTCCTCGACAACTCCGCTGCCGCAGTAATCGCAGAAGGGATCAGCCTCGTGTTTGAATCTGTGGAGGTATGCCTTGAAGCATCCATGGCCTGTAATCAGTTGCGTCGTGTAGAAATCCATCTGCCCGTGTCTTCTATATAGCCATGGTTCCAGTTCGGGGATGAGTCGGTACGTCCACCGTCCAGTGCTCGCACTATCCCACCTCGTTTGCCATAGGGAGATGGTTCTGTTCCGCTGAGTTCCACTACCCGAGTTGCCAGTCCTGCGCTCCGCTGCCAGTAGGTCGATTGGGACTGTTCCAGCCACAACCAGTGCGGCCTCTTCCGATACTGTGCAGAAGCAGCTGGAGATGCGCAGTGCGCAGCGTCTATATACCATCTTGCATTGTCGACTGTAGCTCGCGGTCGACATAGCTTCCGCCCATATCGGCGCGGCATATAGGATGGTAGACGTCACCACGGTTGCTATTAGCCTTCGACTGTGCTGCTTTGGGCCTCGTGTGTTGGCCATCATCCTTGAGATGGCGCCAGTGGCCTTGGAAGCCTTGGCCGCTACGTACTCCAGGTGGCTCTTGTAGTTTAGCCTGTGGTCGATCTGGACGCCTAGGTACTTGACCGCTGGGCAGGACTCGATGGTAGTCGACCCGACACGGAAGTTCACTTTCTCTACGGCCTTCCTGCTGCTGATGAGCACTGCTTCCGTCTTGTGTTCGGCAAGCGAGAGTCCGTTGTCCGCTAGCCAGGACATCAGCATGTCGATGGCAAGGCTGCATTTTGTGGAAACATCAGCCAGGTGCTTCTCCACAGTGACCAATGCGATGTCATCTGCGAAGCCCACTACAGAGCAGCCTTCGGGCAGATTCAGCCTCAGTACACCGTCGTACATGACATTCCATAGGATTGGCCCGAGGACTGAGCCTTGGGGTACGCCTCCTGTTACTTGGTGCTCCTGGTTTCCGGCGTCCGATTTGTATTGCAGAACGCGGTCTTTGAAGTAATCGGCTATCAGCTGTACGAGGTATCCGGATATGCCGCCCCGTTGGAGTGCTTGGAGGACTCGGCTCCAGTTTGCAGAATTGAAGGCGTTTTTGACGTCCAGGGTGCACACAAGGCAGTATTTCTTGGTGCCTCCTTGCCATCTTTCGCCTTCAATCGCATTTTCTGCCAGCTGCGTTACCTCGCGGATTGCATCGATAGTGCTGCGTTTCTTACGAAACCCGTGCTGGTGGCTGGATAGGGCTCCGCGCTCTTCGATTTCCGCTTCTAGCCTGCTGCATATAATCCGCTCGAATATTTTTCCGAGGGAGTTCAGCATGCAGAGGGGCCGGTATGAAGATGGATCGTCGTCCAATTTTCCCGGCTTCGGAACGAGTACAAGCCTTTTCTGCTTCCAGCCTGTAGGAAAAGTCCGTTCGGCGATGCAGTTGTTGTACACCTCCGCGAACAACTTCGGGTGGGACTTCGCTATCGCAAGCAGGGCCGCGTTTGGGATGCCGTCTGGTCCAGGGGCCTTGGAGGCTTTGCAGCTGGTTAGCGCGCTTAGGACCTCCTTTTCATCAATAGGGATTGGTTCCCCCACGGTCACGTTGGGAAGCACCAGGGGCGGCTGGGCTGGAAACAGCGTGGTAACTATTGCTCTCAGTTGCTCATGGGAGGTTGGTGTCGGCTGTCTGATTAGCTTTCCCATTACCATCTTGTAGGCCGACCCGAACGGCTCCTGGTCAGCCGCGTCGCAGAGGTCCTGGAAGCACCTGTTTTTGCTCGCCCTGATGGCCACTTTGAGGGCTTTCTTCCTCTCCCTGTAGATGGACTCGTACATCCCTTGCAGAGGGCGTCCTCTGTTTCGCTGGCATCTCCGCCTTGCTGAGAGGCACTCGCTTCGGGCTGTGGCTATCTCCTGGTTCCACCACGGGACTGGTCGCCTGCCACATCCCCTGCTGGAGCTCTCCATTGCCGCATCGCAGGCAGCCTTGATCCTGGCAGATAACCCATCCGCGCAGCTATTTGCATCCCCAATGATGGCGTTGCAATCCATGCTGGCTAGAAGCACTTCTACGTTTAGGGTGTGTACCCTATACGCAGTTTGCCGGTCAGGAAGTCGCTGCTGGCTGTGCATCGTATTGAAGGTTATCGCGGCATGGTCGCTGTATGTTAGCAGGTCCGTGACTTCCCATTGGCTGTTCCGGGTGAGTTCCGGGCTGGCAAAGGTCAGGTCGATGACTGACTCTCTGCCTGCCTTGCTGTAGGTGCACCTGTTACCGTCGTTGAGGAGGCAGACATTCAGGGTGGCCAGGGCATCCAGGAGGATGGTTCCCCTCTGCGTTGTCCTCGAGCTCCCCCAGGCGGTGGACCATGCATTGAAGTCCCCAGCGATTAATACCGGCGACCTTCCACGGGCGTCCTGGGCGATCTCCTGCACCACATCTCGGAAGGCGTCTATGTGCATGCTCGGAGCAAGGTAACAGCTGTACACGGTCACCTCATGGATCTTGGCCCTGGTGTAGCCAGGTCTCGACGCTCTCTGCGTCATATGGCCCGCAGGCTGCCCGCAGCTCCAGATGGCTGCCCCGCCGTCGGTGCTCTGCTGCCACACACCGTCAGGTTTTGCCCTATACGGTTCGCTTAGTATAGCGATGTCTGTTTTCAGCTCCGTAGCCGTTTGGGACAGGAGGTCCTGGGCTGCTCTGCAGTGGTTGAGGTTAAGTTGGAGAAACTTAACCATTCTGCATGTGTTTGGCGGCCTTCTGGTACTCTGGGCAGGACCTGCTCAGAGTCGCGTGCTCCGCGTCCCTCGCGGTCTTTCCCGCTCGGGTGCATAAAATGCACATAGGCTTGCCATGGCATGTTTTGTGCTTATGGCCAGTGCCTCCGCATTTGAAGCAGGAGTCCTGCGTGGTCTTGGCTGTTGCTTCCGGGGCTCGGCATCTCACAGCATTATGTCCGAAGCCCATGCACTTAAAGCAGCGCTTCGGTTCTGTCTTCTGCCTAATGCGGCAGACGACCCATCCGATCCGGATTTTGCCCTTCTCCAGCAGCCTCCGCGCATGCTCAGGTCTAAGGTTGACCGTAGCGATCTGAGTCCCGCCGAATGCTTTCCGCATCCTGGGTGCAGCGTCGCCTGAAATGTCGCATTCTTCGCCAGCGAACAGGGCCATGGTGACCTCCTCTCCGCTGGTCATGTCGTCCAGATCGCGAATCTCCACCTGGACTGTTTCATGCATGACAGTCACTTCCGCTTTGCCGGAGATGGCTGTCTTTATGGCAGCTTGTAGCTGTTGCGTAGCTGGATCGAGGGGCTTTTGCATCCTAAGCAGGAGCCCGCCATTAGCTGTCCTTCGCACACCTTGCACGCTATTCTTGAGTCCCTGTAGGGAGGGCTCGGTTTTTACAATCTTCAGCATGTCCGCGTAGGATCCTTCGTTGCATTTGATTAGAATAGCGTCAGAGCGCTGTTTCCTTGGCTTCGGAGTGCGTGGTGCGCGATCTTCCTCCCGCACGCTGGTCTCAGCTCTGGTCTGAGGGTTCTTTGGCTTGGGCTTGGCCTTAACAAGTTGCCAAGCTGGATTTCCTGGCCTGCCTGCGGGTGCATCCGCATGCTTCGTGCCACTCAGCGTCGGGGTTGTCTGCTGGCTAGCGCATAGGGTGGTGCGCTCGGGGTGGGCGTCGGGGATAACTTCTGCAATTTCGAGCTGTAGCTTTTTCATAGCCAGCATCGAGTCTATTGTGCTCTGCGTGACGTGACGGACAACCTTTTTGTTGTTGCTTTTGGTGTCCGTGAACTTCGCGATCATGTCATCCAGCATCGT